GGGTGAGAGAGTGTGAGAGTGTGTGTGTGTGTGAGAGAGTGTGAGCGTGTGTGTGTGTGTGTGTGTGCGTGCGTGCGTGTATAAGTATATACAGTACAGTATGTATGTACTACTGACTTACATTGATCTGAAGCTAATTATAACAACCATTAGTCAACCGTTTTAGCCTTTTTATGAATTTATTTTCATCACGAGGACCTAGGTTTATATATTTCTATATATTTCACTATATTTCAGGTTTTACTATGTTTGTTCTTGCTCCCCACAAAAACTCAAACCAAGTCACAAGCATAAGATTCAACAGGTTTTTATGTGAAACTCCAGTTAGAAACAACAAATATTGTTGTCATATTGCAGTAATATCTCCATCTGGATATGTTTTGATGAACTTCAGGTTTAATCTGTGAGCAGACGCAGTGGAGCGACTCACTTTGGGAGGAAGAGGAGGAGGAACGTCATCACTGAACTGCAGTGTGCTACTGAAGAGAGAAAACCACACACTCCATCAGATCTTCATAATTCATGAAGACATTCATCTGTACTGTAGATTATTGGTGACGTACTGTACCTCGCTGGTCTGTGGGAGAGAATAAGAGGCACAATTAACCACAGATATCATTAGCGCTCTCATATTCCATCAATGACATCACACCACACGTTCAACAGAATCAAGAGAATATGAGCAGATAAGACACAGAATCTGCAGACGCTTTTGTCCTAAATGCTGTTTGGTTAGTCTTCCTTTAAAGTAGCTTTCTGTCTTTATTAATATTTTTCCAGTAGCTCAAAGAGTAGGTCATGGGTTCGATTCCCATGGAAAGCAAGAACTGATCAGATGTAAACCTTGATTTGGATGAAAGCATCTGCCAAATGCATAAATGTAAATGTGTTTATGATTTCAGAAGAGGAGAAGAACTTACATTTCCACGTCGTCATAATCGTCATCCGTGTCCACACTCTCCTCCCTGTAAGAGTTTATTATGAGAAACGTCAGCAGGACATCGACATTCAGACGAGTGAATAAACGTGATGTCGGCTCTTACCTTCTTCTGGAAGTGATGGGAGGACTCGTCCACTGACCTCCTGACGTCCGTAACTACACCAATCACATCAATAACAACACACGTTATCCAAAAACATCTGCTATGTAATAAAAACTAATGCAAACCCATCCTATTTTTTTTTTCAAATTGTTAACATTCTGAACACACCTATATACACAGCTAATTATGAGAAAAATTAAATGAGTAATGTAAGGACCCCATGAAGTGGTTTGACAAATGCATTCTTCCCTGTGGTTATGCATTTCCTGTTAAAACAGGAAGTTGTGCTGGGACATATCATCCCTTGTTTTTAAATAGCCAGTTATCTTTTGTTTACGTCAGAGCCATGAACTTGTTCTAGAAAGCATGACTGGACAAGCATTTGTGAATAAAGAGACGTCATCAATACTTGTCTGTTTCCTGAAAGAGAAAAACTGTCCATTTTAAATGCACATATTTTACAGAAATGTGTATTTTGTTAACTTTTAGTAATAGAGGAGCTCAAAGACATAAAACTAAAACACTAAAATAATAATAATAAAAGTTTTCCCTTAGAGAATGTCCTCAAAGGAAGCTTTTGACAGACCTAGCTCACTCTCAGCAGTTTTCTCTCAGAAGTTAAACACTCAAACACTAACCGTTCCTTCGTGAGACTCTCGTTTGCCAGCGACGGGTCTCTGTGTGTAAATCTGTTCCACTGAAACACAGAAATCAGGTTTAAAATAATGAAATAATGAGTGCATATCTGTCATGAACACACACGAGAGTCTTACAGCTGATGTCTGAGTTCGTTCTCTCGGCCCGGTTGTGTCGGTTGATTGAGTGAATTCTTCTGAGTGAATGTGGGACAATCACCTGAGAGAGAGACAGAGACGAGAGACAGACTGATGGACTGTCTTTGTGAGTGAGTCACTGAATCATTCATTCAACAGAGTGGTTCATATCACTGATTAGTTCAAGAACTAAACAAGTGACTGTATTTATGAGTGAGTCATTGAATCGTTCATTTAACCGAGTCATTCAAAACATTGATTCATTCAGGAACTAAACAAGGGACTGTCTTTATGAGTGAGTCATTGAATCGGTTATTTAACCGAGTCATTCAAAACACAGATTCATTCAAGAACTAAAGAAGGGACTGTCTTTATGAGTGAGTCACTGAATAATTAATTCAACAGAGTTGTTCATATCACTGATTAGTTCAAGAACTAAACAAGTGACTGTCTTTATAAGTGAGTCATTGAATCGTTCATTTAACCAAGTCATTCAAAACACTGATTCATTCAAGAACTAAACAAGTGACTGTCTTTATGAGTGAGTCATTGAATTGTTCATTTAACCGAGACATTCAAAACATTGATTCATTCAGGAACTAAAGAAGGGACTGTCTTTATGAGTGAGTCATTGAATCATTCATTTAACTGAGACATTCAAAACATTGATTCATTCAGGAACTAAACAAGGGACTGTTTTTATGAGTGAGTCACTGAATAATTCATTCAACAGAGTCGTTCATATCACTGATTAGTTCAAGAACTAAACAAGTGACTGTCTTTATGAGTGAGTCATTGAATCGTTCATTTAACCGAGTCATTCAAAACATTGATTCATTCAGGAACTAAACAAGTGACTGTCTTTATGAGTGAGTCATTGAATCAGTTATTTAAGCGAGTCATTCAAAACACTGATTCATTCAAGAACTAAACAAGGGACTGTCTTTATGAGTTCAAATTGAGATCTCTGACTTTTAATTGCATACTTATACAAATCAGAGCACAGTGTGAGACATTGCTGAGCTCTGTATTGAAACTCTAGAGGAGACACTGGGGTCTTTTTTTCAGGAGAAACATTTGAGTCTCCATTCGCGCTCCATGCAATCTCATTACTGTCTATGAGAACCAAGTGAGAGTTTGAGATGTATTTGTCCCACAAGTGTGTGTATGTGTGCGTACTTACCTCCAAATCATCGTCATCCGTGTGTAAACATTCTTTGAGCTTCTCAGGGTGTCTGAGTTTGTCCAGTATTTCGAGGGTTAACTCTTGTCTCAAAGACGGCTGTGTCACGAACAAATGCTGAAACCAGACGTGATACATGTTCAGCTAAACACACACACATGCTTACTTGTTAACACAACACACACGGCTGGCAAACATACCATCAGCATCTTTTTAGCGCTGGGTCTCTTCTTTGGGTTCCTGATCAGCATGGACTTCACAAAGTTGTAGAATGTGGTGGACCTGAAATAAAATCAGCAGTCAGTGATCGGTTTGCGCTCAGACTCTGATACTTTACTAAAGAACATCTCAGTCTCTCACCATTTGGATTTGTCCTTGAGTTTGGGAGGCTGATAGCCGCTCTTGGACATCAGGAACAAAACTCTGAGAAACCAGAGAACAAACAGAAGCACAAACAGTGTGAGGCTTCACCTTAGACAAGTCTTATATAACAAGATTTATATAACGCTTTATACAGTACAGACTGTTTCAAAGCAGCTTAGAATAGTTCACCCAAAAATGAAAATGTGTTCACCCTCAGTCCATTCAAGATTATGATGAGTTTGTTTCTTCATCAGGTTTGTAGAAATGTAGCACTGCATCAGTGTCTCAGCAATGGATGCTCTGCAGTGAATGGGTGCCGTCAGAATGAGAGTCCAAACAGCTGATAAAAACATCACAATAATCCACAAGTAATCCACAGCACTCCAGTCCATTGGTTAACATCTGGAGAAGACAAAAGCTGAAACATATCCAGCATTAAGACGCTTTTAACTAAAATATGAGTCCATAATCTATGGACTCGTATTTGAGTTAAAAACGTCTTAATGCTGGATTTGTTTCATCTTTTGTCTTCTCCAGATGTTAACTGATGGACTGGAGTGCTGTGGATTACTTGTGGATTATTGTGATGTTTTTATCAGCTGTTTGGACTCTCATTCTGACGGCACCCATTCACTGCAGAGCATCCATTGCTGAGACACTGATGCAGTGCTACATTTCTACAAATCTGATGAAGAAACAAACTCATCCTGATCTCTGATGATCTGAGGGTGAACACATTTACAGCAAATTTCATTTTTGCATGAACTATTCTGATTCAGTTCAGTAGTGTGTACCTGAGAGGATGAACATCAAACAGAGGTGGCTGTAGTTCTGCGAGCTCAATCGCTGTGATTCCCACAGACCAGATGTCACACAGCTCATTATATCCGCCCTTGATCTCGACAGCGGCCACCTCCGGAGCCATCCTGAGGACAAACACAGAACCACGGTGTTCACAGGTTTGCTTCAGTCCATCAGTAAGCCAAATATGTTAGCAAACTGCATTTGTATGAGTGCATTTTGCAGATTAAGTGACTTACATTGCATTCAAGATTTACATTTGATAAATTTTAGCTTTCTGTGGGAATTGAACTCATGGTGTTGCTAGTGTTAACCCTAACCCAACACTCTCTCAACGTTATGAAATGTGCCTCCAGTAACGTTAACTCAGGGTTATCTGGTCTTTAATAAGGTTCTTAAAATGTTAGCACATTATTATTTATACATCATTCATGGAACGTTTTTCTGAATATTTTACTTGGACGTTTGTCTAATGTTTTTTTAGATGTTTCTACTTCTTTCACGTTCAAATGTAATGTTTGCAAAACCACAAGAGAACAGAGAACATTTAGAGTTCACTCAGAAATAACATTTTCATAACTTAAAAGGGAATATTAGAAAAACGTTCTGAGGATATCTTGTTAGCTGGAGTGCGGCTATAATCAGAAGTCTCTGAAACAAGCCTAAAATGAGCCAGAAGCTGATCATCAGGTTCATCTCACCAATACGGTGTCCCAATGAACGACATTCGACGGGCAAAAGTGGCTGTGATTTGTGCCGAGATGCCAAAGTCCGCTGAAAACAGAGAGAAGGAGACAGAGGAGCGTTAGACAGACAGACAGACAGAGACCGAGTAAGACAGGTTTAATGGTTTTCAGTCGTTCCACGAACCCAGTTTGACTTCTCCATGATCATTCAGAAGAATATTTGCTCCCTGGAAAACACAAACTCTGAGTGACTGACTGAAACGGCGCTGACGGAGACGACTGGCTGATGAAGTGTGTGAAGGGACTTTACCTTGATGTCTCTGTGGATCTTCTTCTGTCCGTGAAGATAATCAAGACCCTGACAGAGAGAGAGCAGGCGTCTCTTAAATAAGTGTGCTGTGTTATAATCATGTGATGTGAAGTGTGAAGAGTCTGTCACCTGCAGCATCTCTCGACAGATGTAAGCGATCTGCTGCTCGGACAGAGGACCGGTCACTGACACACAGAGACAGATGATAGTCAGACAAGTCAAGCTCACCTCATGTGTCTCAGTCTTCATCAGTTACGTCATCAGATTACTTTTTTCAAGTAACTAGTAAAGTAATGCATTACTTTTAAATTTGCAATGAAATACCAGAGTTACTTTTTCAAACGAGTAACGCCAGTTACTTTGTTTTCTCATGTATTGACAGAGCTCTTCTGTCCTCATGTTGAGAAATCAGAGACTCTTCCTTCAGACTGAAGATTATTCATTTCACTTTTGGTGTGAAAGGGCCTTTACAGTTGCCAAAAATATAACTTTAGTGTTTTTTGTTATTAAGAAACAAATAAGCAAGCCCAGTCAAGGTGACACAAAGTAACGCAAAAGTGATGCGACGAATTACTTTCCATAAAAAGTAACGCAATTGGTTATTTTTTTTAGGGAGTTATGCAATATTGTAACGCATTACTTTTAAAAGTAACTTTCCCCAACACTGTTTCCCCAAAACTACAGCTTCAAAACACCAACACACACAACATCAGAGACAGCGTGTTGAGCTCAACCTGATATGGTATGTATTATTTAATTATTTATTTTGATTACAGGTAGCAGAGGTAAATATCAGCATAGACAGAAAGGCCTCTGAATACATGTTATGAAGGGAGTTTTTAGAAAAACAGTGTAAAAAATGTAATATAAATAAATAAATAAAAATATTAAAATAAATAAGATAAATAAAAAATATATAGAATGAAACAATACAAACAAGATCAAAATAAATACTAGAATAGAGAATAATTAAATAAATAGATGGCATAATCATATGTGAGCCTGCAGCACAAAAGCAGTCTTAAGTCGCTGGGGTATATTTGTAGCAATAGCCAACAATACATTGTATGGGTCAAAATTATACATTTTTCTTTTATGCCAAAAATCATTAGGATATTAAGTAAAGATCATGTTCCATGAAGATATTTTGTAAATTTCCTACCGTAAATATATCAAAACTTAATTTTTGATTAGTAATATGCATTACTAAGAACTTCATTTGAACAACTTTAAAGAGGATTTTCTCAATATTTAGATTTTTTAGCACCCTCAGATTCCAGATTTTCAAAAAGTTGTATCTTGGCCAAATATCGTCCTATCCTAACTATATCTACTACCTACTAACTATATCGTCCTATCTCCAGATTATACATCAATGGAAAGTTTATTTATTCAGCTTTCAGATTATGTATAAATCTCAATTT